ATTTCTACAGGTAGGGATGAACTCTTTTACAGCGTGTGACCATTAAAGCGTCTGTTTTGCTGCATGTAAAGCCACTAAAAACCTCTTTCTTTTACAGACATTCGTTACGTTGTTGGTCGCTATTTTCACAGTTTTGTTGATTTTCTAAACATTCCACTGTTTGTTTGTTGTTGTTTTTTTTAACTAGTGTGTCACTGGCAGTTTATTTCAAAGGGAAACTAATGAACTTTTACTCAGTGATCGATCCGTCACCCTGCTCTCTCCATACCGCCCTGCGATGACCTCTTCTGACATCAATCAAAGACCTTCTTCTTCGGTCGCCTCCAGTCCTTCGATGTGGAGTTTGCCTCAGGGAACTCTAAAAGTTTCTGCAGCCACTGAACCGTGAGCAGCAGACTGTGGGGGAGACAGCAGAGGCACAGCTTGACTCTTTAGACCTGACGAGATAGCAGGTTGCACCACCTCCTGTCAGTAAAAAAAAGCGATAAACCTACGGCCTCGTTTCTGAGCAGCCATGGCGCTGCTCCTCGGCTTATTAGAGCCTGAGCCTGAGGGTGGCTTCCTTCACCTGAGGCAACGTGACTAATGCGATTGTAGGGACTGACTTCATCTATCATTCATCAGGGTGTGAGGTACCAGGACGGGCTGAACTCTGAACTGCAGGCAGCTGAATGCAGTCAGTCAGACAAGGAAATGACTCACGTATGTATGTAGTTAAGCAGGAGATATTTACAGTCGTCCAGCTGGTCTAACAGCGGAAAAATGTTTCCATGTTGCTGAAATAACAGGACACTTATTTTCTGAACATCAACTACAAAAAGAATATATGAAAATGATCGTTAGAAACAGTCCACAGATTGGAAAGCAGTTCAGTTAGTATGTGATGAAACCATTTATGGCTCTACTGCAGGCCGACGTGTTTTCTAACAACATGAAAGCATAGTTCTCATATAAAGCTGGAAATAGGAATGCATTTACTAAATATAGACTTTATCCCTGCAGTGGAAAAAATAGCACCGAAGACTAGAGGACCTCATTATGAGCAAATCGCAATTTTAAAGCGGTAATTAACTTGCATCGGTGAAATTGTGGGGAAATTAGCATCTGCAAATGAAAATAATAAACATAGGGTGGGAGTATTTTTGATACTGTTTATTACCAATTATCACTGGCTTACTATTTATTTATTTATTGAAATAGGGAGCTACCAGGAAAATACAGCAAAGTGTTCAGATAAATACTTCCAAATCGACTTTATTGATGTTCCTCAAGGCTCTGTGTTAGGCCCACTGTTGTTTTATTAAGTACATAGATGATATATGTAGTGATTTTGTTGTTTTGATTCTGTAAGCGTATTTTATCTGGTTAAAAATTTGAAACCCTTTTTGCACACTATTTTTTTTAAAAAAGGACTTAAAACTTCTAAAGAGCTGGTTTGCTTTGAATTTCACAGTCTTGTACAAAACACACTTATGATAATGATGATCAAAAAGCATCCAAAACCATGTTTTTAGTGAGAGACTATAAATAATAAATAATGCTGGAGACCACATAATAATTACGCCAAAGCAAAACATATTTTTTGGTGTAACTAAAATGGTTTTCTGCTTTACTATTTTTTTTATTTTCTCGGTCCTTTATTATTTTTTGTGTGTAGATATTTATAAACCATAATAGTTTTCAATTTCAATATATTTTGCAACTATAAAAAAACCTTTTGCTGAGCATAGTCGAGAATATGAAGAGTCCTCCAGAAAACATGATACATGATTTGTGCCACGACCAGTAAAGTGTGTAATTTTATCAACTTTACTGAGTTTAACTGAAAGATCAGGTAACTCTTCTGATGCCAGCAGCCGTTACGCGAAACTTAATTCTCTGTGGTCATGAAAGCAGGCAGCAGCAGCTTGTTTTCATCTGTTTTCTTATTAGTCACACTCTTAGAAATGAAAGCGAAATCAAGTCCGTTATAAATGTCGTTTCTTAAATTATAATAAAGTGAACATGGTGATCTGCCCTGGAGCCACGGTGTCGCTTTCACACCGACGTTCTCTCGTGATAAATCCAGGAGTAAACCTGCCACGACTGTCAGGATAGTTCAGAGGCATTTTATTTCTTAATAGTCTATCTGAATGATGTCTCATTTTGTGGTGACTTTAAATTACGCAGACAGACAGAACTGTATCCTAGAAAGAATAAGAAACACAACACTGCCAGTGATTGTACAACAGCAGAAAACCCAACCTACCAGTCCATCAAACACAACGGCAGTCCTGACAGGAGATGGAAGCCGAGATTGGGCAATAAGAGCGCATTATCTGGCCCATGGCTGCAGCCGAGACGGATCACCAGGCAACAGGCAGGACGGAGCGCTGTGTACACAAAACACAGGCCTCAGATTACACACATTTCACACAGCCATTTTCTGGGTCTCCGCAAACACAAACTGTAAAAACAGGACAATTACAAGCGGCAGCCACCCGCACTGAGTTTCTCGGGTTACGAAAAGACGAGCCCTGGAGGCGTCAGAGATGGCATGCTGGTTTTACTGAGTGGTGAAAAGCTAAAGTGGTCTGAAGAATTAGCCAACAGGCTGGAATTGCAGGTAGTGTAAGCCCCTTCTCACTCATCCATCATCTTACAGCCTGTGATCCCCCTCAGGGGCAGTTCCCATGCTCCCTGCCAACCCGAACATGCTGTGGAGTAGAGGCATAAAAATAATAATAACACTCCAGGTGAGGCTGCAGATGCAGACATGCCAACTGTACCCAACATCAAGGCAGATAATACCTGCACACGTGCTGCTGGAGTAGTGGCTGGAAACAAGACGCTTTCTCCACCAAGCCTGCAGGAACTTGTGCTGTGGAAAGCTCTCAGATGATATTCTCTTTTGGATGAACCAATATTACGTTGAAAGGAGAAGAACTCTTACACAACGTTTTGTGGTGAGCAAAGTCGATCCTTTGTGCTCAGTTTAGTGTGTATGTTACAAAACGAGCTGATGCTATCGAGGGCTGGTTCCCATTTTAGTAAAACAATTATCATTAGCTGCATACTGTCAGAGCTCAATTATTGTAAAAGTGCTTTTTTCATTTCATTTAATATATTTTGAGAAAATCTACAGTAGGTCTTATAAAAACACAGTCTTAACCTGGAGTAGAGCCACTGTGAGCTTTTCTGAAAACTATTTTGAAAACTCTATATTCAAAAGTTTCATGTTAGCTTGTGTTCGTATGCAGTTAAACAAAAGTGAAATGTCCTACAACATAAGCATAACAGCAAAACATAGTTAAAGCAATGAAGTTTAGTCACTGGTTTTGTCTGTCTGACTGATATATTATTATAACTGCCATCATTAGATTAGGAGCAGTGAAGCATCAGTGTGTCAGCAGCATGTCACCGGATTGAACTACTTCACAGGACGCCACATTTCTGCAAATATTTTATTATATCTTTTCATGGGACAGCACTGAAGAAATGACACTTTGCTACCATGTGAAGTAGTCAGTGTACATTTACCGTCCCCTCAATACACAACCATGAATGTCTGGTAACAAAAGAAAGTACAGCGCTAAGTGAAAATGTCCAAATTGGGCCCAATTAGCCATTTTCCCTCCCCGGTGTCATGTGACTCGTTAGTGTTACAAGGTCTCAGGTGTGAATGAGGAGCAGGTGTGTTAGATTTGGCGTCATCGCTCTCACACTCTGTCACACTGGAAGTTTAACATGGCACCTCATGGCAAACAACAGAACTGTTGCTCTACATAAAGATGGCCGAGGCTATAAGAAGACTCCAACACTTTAAAACTGAGCAGCAGCAGCACAGTGGCCGAGACCATACAGCGGTTTAACAGGACAGGTTGGACCAAAGACGTTGAGTGCACGTGCTCAGTGTCATATCCAGAGGTTATATTTGGAAAGTAGACGTGTGAGTGCTGCCAGCATTGTTGCAGAGGCTGAAGGGGTGGAGGGTCAGCCTGGCAGTGCTCAGACCAGACGCTGCATCAGACTGGTCTGCGTGGCTGTCATCCCACAAGGAAGCCTCTTCAAAAGATTATGCATAAGACAAGCAGACTGAGGACATGGATTACTGGAACCATGTCTTGTGGTCTGATGAGACCAAGACAAACTTGTTTGGTTCAGATGGTGTCAAACCAGGTGGTGTAACGTCCTGTGTATCCAGTTTGATAAACAGGGACAGCAGATAAATGTGAGGGTTTGTCATATAATTAATCGGAGATGGAGAAAAAAAAAACACACAAATCTGTTTTCAGTGTTCTGACTTTTCCTCTAGTCTTTGCAGTGTTTGATCATTTGAACGCAACTACACACTGTCTTTTGTGCTAAATGTTGTATTGTAAAAGCTCACTATATTATCTGTAGAGTAAAATCTTAATCTCAAACTAACTAAGGCTGTCAGATGAATGTAGTCGAGTAGAAAGTGCGATGTTTTGTCTAAAATGTAGTGGAGGGAAAGTATAAAGTAGCCTAACATGAAAATACTTACATAAAGCACATCCATCCATCAT